GTGTTCATCCCACATTCTCAGGACAGTGGTGGAATAAATTACCTGGACCATTTCACACTACACATTTATAGTACTATGATTCCACTTTAACTGCCATGGTTCCATTCAATGGAAATCTGAGATTTGCAATTTAAGGAAAAGTATTTAGAATTTTCAGTGCCTCCCCTAACTATAAACCCAAAGATTCCATAGGATGCAGGCATGGCCATTAAAGTGGAATCATACTGCTATAACAATATGCTGTAGTGTGAAAGGGGCTTTAGATATTTTTCTTTTCAGATCCACTGATACACTGAAACCAAGCCTATGTAACACCCAGATTGATCTTTGAGGAGTACTCCAAAGCTCCAAATATGAGGACTGTAGTGCCATCAAGGATTTTCCCTTAAGTCTCAATCTGTATTTCATCATCTGTGCCAAATAATAAATTAGTTTGGAGAATTGCTATATGGTGAGGTGGCTACATCCCTCTTCTTCAAATCTTCAGCTAACAAAATTAAAATTTCAGCTGAAGAGTAATTATACACTCCGTGCCCTGACAGAAGAAGAGTCAGCCAAACCATAACTGCTAAGGCACAAATGCGTTTTAATGTGCATACAATGAAGATCCAGTTTCTGGACAGTAATATTAAGCCATTCATGCATGATGATGTACTGCAGTGTTTCACCCATTCTCTCACACATAGACAGACAAGACAAAGGGAGGGAGGAGGCAGAAAGAGATTAGTTCGAAAAGACCCATTCATTTTCAATATGAGTTTGAAAACTGAAAATACACATTAGTTTTCAGACTCATGTACACCAGGATTTAATTCCATATGCTCAAGAAAACGCAGGCAAGCAGAAAGAAACTGAAGGGGGAAAACACACAAGAAAGCCAAAGATGCAGAAAACAGCCAAAGGCAAAATACAAAACTGCTTGGTATAGGAAATTTATTAATACTAGTAATATATCCAGTTTAGATGGCTTTCTAAGGGAAATTCATTAGGGAAGTTCATTTGCATATGTGTCTGTATTTAAACAAACCACATAAGCTGTAAAACTCCTTAGGGACTCTTGTGAGGGGCAAAAGGAATATTTATATAAATATTAGCCATGAAAACTAAGTATGCCCTCCACATTCTACTCTACTCTGCATAGGTTCTAAGAGCAGACAACTGTAAATGGCCACCATTCCCTTTCATTGCCACATGCTGGCATCTTGTTGGCCATTATTGACAATAAAATGTTGAATACAAGAACCACTTGGTCTGATTCTATCTATCTATCATCTACCTATATATGTAATACTGTATTTATATCCTGCCCATAATTAGTTTAATTCTGTTTTAAGGGGATGGGAGGGTGGGATTTTGGGATGAGGGAATGCTTTTAATTCTATTCTGTTTTTAAAATTACTGTACCCTGCCCCAATTGCTGCGCAGATGGGCGGGCTATAAATAAAAAATTATTATTATTATTATTATTATTATTATTATTATTATTATTATTATTATTATCATAGATTCTCAGGGCAACATAAAATAACCACAGGGTAAATTAATCATAGAGTTTTCTTGGCAAGCGTTATTCAGAGGTTTGCCATTGCCTTCCCCTGAGGCTGAGAGCATGAGACTTGCTCAAGATTACACAGCATAAAAGAAGTGGGGTTTTTTCTTTAAAATAGCTGAACAGACTAAAAGCCTATTAAGATTATTTGATTTTAAAAGAATGATTCCCAAGGTGGGGAATGGAAAGATCCAAGAGGACAGCGAGGGAAAGGGGGGCAGTGAGGGAAAACAGAATGGCAAGGGTCAAAATACTTTCAGTCAAAGTACTGGTGCACAAGAAAGACAAGGGGAACCAGCAGCTTTTAGGACCATGGTGGAGATAAAGGTTGCATGAAATTTCTCTTTTCAGAGCCCCTTAAAGCCACTGTGAAGCCCTGGTGATTGCAAAGGCCGGCATGGGCGAGAGACTTCTCAGCCGTTGCTCAACTAGCTGCTCAGTTGCTGCTCCCAGGATAATCAGGTGCAAAGGGAGTAGTGACCAAGATTGGTTGTGTTGAATTTGCAGTAGACCAGTAGACCTAATGTCAAGAAATAGGCATGGGATGGTGGTTGCTAGAGTTCCCACCTAAGAGGAAAGGGGTGATAGACCAAACACATTTGGGGACCACTGAGTTAAAACATGGCAGTTTAAAACCAATTCAAACCGTTTAAACTGAGGACCATATACGTGAGCAGATTTGGATAAAATCATTTAACTCCCAAATGCTTTTGTAAAAGCCATGTTTATACTTGGTGCTGGAATGACCCCAGTGTGGGTACCAATCTGGCCTCTAAGGGAAGGGTCCACAACTGGGGTGACAAGAGAAGAACCGCTCTCATGTCCTCTCCTTCATCCTGTATTACAATTTATGCAGGGAGTTATCATCAACATTACCATTTTAGAAAGCACTTCAATAACAAGGCACCGAGTGTAAGTTTAAATCACAATCCTTGCCTCAAGATTATAATCTAGGTCAGTGGTACTCAAAACATTTTACTCTTAGGACCCCGCTTTACATCTTCATGCGATGTCACACTCCTCCACTCAACACAGTATATGAATAAAAATATTTTGTTTATTTAGTGTGCCTATTTTCATTTTCACATTTATGTCTATTCATATTTCAACATTTTTATAAGGAAATAATATTGTTCAAATTAGAAACGTTTTATAAGTAAATGCAATATTTAACTCCATGGATGTGTACATTTTACACATAAAAAAGTTTGAGAAGAGGCGGCGGCGGCAGGGGATCAGGGCCTCCAAGTGTCGTACCTCCCCTTGGGGTCCCACCCCACCGTGTGAGTATCACTAATATAGGTCATTTTCTGGAATAAGTCTGAATGAAGACTCTCACTTTATTTCAAAAGCTATGATTTTATTGAGGCAAGACTTCTACAAAACATATGTGACACAACAAATGTTGTTACCTTTTAAAGATGTCTATATATACTTTGCTGGTTTAACCTTTAAAGCAAAATATAAAGAGATCGAAAGGGAAAAGGTGTAGTGGGACATTGCAAGGATGTGACAACATTTTGAGTAATATGGTGTTTTTACCAGGTGAGCAATTATGTGGTAAGAAGGGCAGACCAGAAAGATTCTACATTTATCTTTGATACTCAACCGTCTCCTTAAGTAATGTTATTGATGCGTTTTCCTCCATTTCTTTCCAATGCCTCCTTCTTTCTTAAAACTGAACTTTGACAGAAAGTGACCATCTTATCCTTTTGTCTTTTGAAAAGATAAATCGTTTATCCATGGAGGAGGGAGAGAAAAACAAATGAGGGAGGCAGGGAAGGTAAAATGTGTGGATATTTGAATTTTAAAAAGTCAGAATTTAACAACTGATCAGGGTGGACAACACAAGAGTATGAACATATTTCAGCCAAGGCCCTACACTGTACTTGTATGGCATAAATTTGCACATACATAGTTAAGTGCTGATTGTGTTAATTTATCCTTCTGCAGAATGCCAACATTGTGCGATCAACTGTATGTCTGCCAATGTTCCATTATTGTTCCATTGCACAGAGGGGAATGCAGAGTGGCTATTTCTGAAACTCCAGTTAATACATTGGTATACTGAAGGCACTGACAATACGTGTGCACCACTCAAGTAAATGGTTCGCTGGCACAACACATATACAACCATAAGCTGAATACATTGTTCTATGCTGGAACTGGCCACAATTTCAGGCCTTCTGAAGATTTCATTTGATACCAAAACCTGGCATACGCCACTGCTATAAAATAAGCTGTATTAGTGGGAAATGATATAGCAGAAGATGTACAGCAGAGGAAACACCACTACACTTTAGAACATGCATTCCAGCATTTCCTTGGAGAAGTGGTAGAACTGGGCCCCTAAGCAAATAATTCTACCCAGACTATCTCAAAACTGATACACCAATTCCCTGTGGCTGGATGATGGGGTTTCTGGGCTGGAGAGCACCTTCCCAAAGGGTGAGGCTGAAGCAGGTGGACTCCCAAGGTCATATAGTGCAGAAGTGGACAAGAGAAACTGAAGTGCAAAGGCTTAACCCAGGGGTAGGCAACCTTTCCCCTTTAAGGGCCAAGGGACTTCAGCTCCCAGAATCCCAGGACTTATTGGCCAACATGGGACTACTGGCCAACATGGCTGAGGCTTCTGGGAGCTGAAGTCCCTCGGCCCTTAAAGGGGAAAGGTTGCCTACCCCTGGCTAACCCAACTCTTATCCCAACAGCTATGAGTACTGTACAAACTTTAAGAAAGTTTGTTCCACCAGCCTGTTCCCAGCTGCCAGTTTAAGCTTAGCTTTGAGCTGTTAGGCTAAAGTGAAACTATCTAGCAGGCCCCATTAAATAGAAAACAACCCTTTCTACACAACTGGACAGCTCTTAATGTTTTGACATGATCCTGGTAAAGACTCTAGAACATCCCAGCTTTCTAGCAATCATAATATATATAATATCCATTACGCAATGGCAGAGAAAGTGTAACTAGGTAAGAGAACTTGCACATGTGATCTAGTTTGATTCTTAGAGGTTCTTTCCCCACTTAATTACTAATATTTTATACTTTTCATCTGTTTTAATATCTGTAAATGTAATCTTTCTGTCTCAAGTCTGAAAGGTGAAAGAATTAATTAGTAGAGGAAGAAATGAGAAATAAAAAGTGGGAAGCAGAAGCTCAGTTTTAGCAAATTCATTTTTTAAAAAAAGGAAGGGGAAAAAGAAATAACCCAGAAGGAAATGAAGAGAAAGCATTAGAAATCTTACCTTCAGAAGAAGGCAGAAGGACTGGAAAGCTAAATGTTGCCAGCACAATAATAGTGGTTGTTGTTGTGTGACTTTACTTGTTTCTGACTTATGGAGACCCTAAGGCTCATGGGGATTTCTTGGCAAGATTTGTTCAGATAGGGCTTGCCTTTGCATGACTCTATGGCTGAGAGAGTGTGGTTTGCCCACTTCACACAGTAGTCTTCCATGCCCAAACAGGGATTTGAACCCTGGTCACCAGAGCCACAGGCCAACGTTCAAACTACTACACCAGGGGTAGGCAACCTGTCCCCTTTAAGGGCCGAGGGACTTCAGCTACCAGAATCCCAAGAGCTATTGGCCAACATGGGACTATTAGCCAACATGGCTGAGGCTTCTGGGAGCTGAAGTCCTTCGGCCCTTAAAGGGGAAAGGTTGCTTACCCCTGTACTACACCATACTAGCTTTCACAATAATGGGACTGGAGATCAAAATAACAAATATAACCAAGAGGCTGAATACACAAAGTAAAAAGACAAGAACTGGAGACATTACTTTGAGGAATGCCAGGAAATTGTAGGGAAGGGAAAGGATGAAGAGATAAGAGAAAAAAGAAATAACAGTGTTATACCCTTATATAACAACCTCCAGGCAATGAACATTGCAGGAGGACTGTTTATCCCAGGATTTTTTCCTCTGAATAAGGCAGCTGGAAAGTTACTGGTGTATCATAATATCTGGTTTACTGACAACTATAAAAGCTGAGCAGGGATGGAGGCTGACAATTTAACATCCCAATGAGACTTTCTAAAGGGGCTGCCACCACCCTATGGACACTCCTGAGCTTTGTTCAGCCTCTGAAACCAGATCTTGCTTGTCTCTCCCACCTGGAAACTCCTAGATGCTTACGTTGTACACACAAACTCAAAACAGGACATCTCTTATGGGCATATGGGGAGGGGGTTGGGGGGCTTGGAGAGATAGAGGCATACCTTCGCCCAGAACATTTGTTGAAGATAGATTCAGATAGATCACTCAGCAAACCTCAACTGTGCCAGCTGATTTGAATTACTTTGGCAGTCTCTTTGGCAGACTCACAAGGGTCCAAAACACACTGCAGAAATAACCCAGTTTGAGATTGCTTTAGCTGCCCTGGCTCAAGACTAGGGAATCCTGGAAAACATAGTTTTGTGAGACATTTAGCCTTCTCTGTCAGAGAGCTCTGGTGCCACAATAAACTAACGTTCCCAGGATTCCCTAGCACTGAGCCAGGGGAGTTAAAACAGTCTGAAACTGGATTATTTCTGCAGTGTGTTTTGGACCAAGGTTATTGTGAATCTTTCAGAAATCCTTCAGTTCACATACTTCTAACATTTCAGCGATGAAAACCAGGACACATGTGGCCAAGCAACATAGGAGGATAGTCAAGATGGCAAAAGTTATTAATGAGGAAGAATTCACAAACTGGGAGAGGCTGCTATAATTTGCTTTTGCTTGAGATGACTAGGAAGAGCTCAATTTGAATTCAACAAGAGAGACAATGTGGCTTACAAAAAGGTTAGGACAACATGCAACTAAAAACTTGATGATATAAGTTATAAAACAATTAAATTAATGTAAAATCTTCCATAATTTTAAACACTGTAAAATTATTTGAAAGGCGTTAACGATAATGATAAACATGCAGCAAATACACATAATTAAAAGCCCTTTTTTACAATCCATTATGATCAAATGCCTGATTAAATTGAAAGGCCTGTACCTGTCAGCAAAAGGAGAGCAGAGGGAGAGCCTAGAATCCCATGGGAGGGAATTCCAGCCACCAAAAAGGCCCTCTCACACAGTGATGGTATAAGAAAGTGTCTCCCAAGGGTCTTAACACTTGGGCAGGTTTGCACATGGAGATAAAGAGAGGTGAAAGATGTGGCGTGATAATGACCTAACATGCAATTCTTAGGGCACATCCCTCTAACTATATATGTATTAAATACTGGAAGGTAAAGCATGTAGCCTATGGTCATAGTGTGTCCAAAAAAGGGCGACCAAAATGGTGAAAGCTCTGGAAACCTTTCCTATGAGGAGCTGCTTATGCAGTTGGCTATGTTTAGCCTGGGGAAGAGAAGGTTAGGAAGTGTCATGATAGTGATGTTTAAATATTTGAAAGGATATTGAGGATGGAGTAAGCTTGTTTTCTGTTGCTCCAGAGACTAGGACGTGGAGCAATAGATTCAAATTACAGGGAAAGAGATTCCACCTAAATATTAGGAAGAACTTCCTGATGGTAAGAGCTGTTTGACAGTAGAATATGCTGCCTCAGAGTGGTGGAGTTTCCATCTCTGGAATTTTTTAAGCAGAAGCTGGATGACCGTCTGTTGGAAGTGCTTTGTGTATTCCTGGATGGCAGAGGGTTGGAATGGATGGCCCTTGAGATCTCTTCCAACTCTATGATTCTATGACCTCCATTCATGTAGGTTTCTACAGGTTCTGAACCCCAAATGTTCTGGGACACACAGGAGCCAAGTGCACAGATGACTCTACTGGAAGTCTCTACTGGAAGGCTTTCCTACACAAGAGTTCACTGTGCAGCATTTTTGGGGCCAGGTCAGTGGTGCAACTATGCTGCCCTTTTAATTGTGTGCAATATGATCCTAAGATTCAAATTTAGTATTAAGATTGGGCCTAGAGAACAGAAGGACATCACATAGGACTCAAAGTGGTTGTGGAAACGTTTATAACGCATTGAATTTTCTTTTGGGTAGAAGGCACAGATGGGAGAAAAAACAACTTAGCCTTACTCTAAACTTTGCATTTCACGCAATGGTATTTGTTCCCTCCCAAAGAAGCATCAGGGTGTTTTTTTAATCCAGACTTTAAAGGTATTTTCCAGACACATATTTGGTGTGTCTTGCAGTCCAATTTAGATTCACAGTCCCCTCCTGGGGGAAAAGGCAGATTATAAATAAAATAAACCAACTGGAAAAGAGGTAGCAGATATACACATAGACACAAATGCTGTGCACAAGGACAAAGAAACAAACAAAAGTTTCAGGGCTGCTTCTAATCATGCTCTGGGATCATCATGCAGATTAATGTTAAATAAGCCCCTATGTGAGTAAAATGGGCATGTTCCATGGGGTGAATTCATCTCCAGATTACAAAGTGTGTAATTCACTAGAGTTAAAATCACTCTAGATTAAAAATCAGATCATGTAGCTCCAGTAACAAGAGAAATGGTTGAGAAATATTTCAGATTTGATGAAACTCTGGTGGAGACTCCCTGTGCCACTTCAAGGCAGAATGTAACCTCCAAGCAATTTCTCTTCCCTTTGAAACCCAAAGAAGAGAAGAGGTATCTTAAGAGAGTACACATATGTCTACTTTAAAAATATTACTTGTGTTAAATTTGCACCTTAACTTGTTCTCATAGAACTATGAAGTGTGCCCCTAAGAAAACTGGACAAGTTACGAACGTTAAACCATAAGCTAAATTCACTTTTTTTAATCAAAATATGTTATTAGAGGCCATTGAAAGCATTTCAAAAGAGATGAAATGTGGCAGGCATGAATTACCAAGAGAATAGGTGCAACCTCAAGGTATCTTCAAGCTTTTGCCTAATGCATTATCTTCTCTAAACAGCTTCTCTACAGGCCAGTTCGTTCTCCTGCAAGGATAAAATAAATACACAAAACAAAATTCAAATCCAAATTAAGTCCTAGGATAATCCGCCAAAGCAATGTGCCAGAAATCTGTAATATTTCCCAAAGACACAAGCATTATTCTCACATATGCTCCTGTTGCATGAAATGTTAAAGAGAGCATATCATTAAGTTAAGCTAGCTAACTTTTTCATAATGGCATGCTTTACAAAAGAAGGAAGATGTATTCATAATATGACAAACCAAAGAAAAATGCCAAGGTAAGTGTGGAAGCACCCAGAATTAATTGTTTTAAATGAAAAAAATTAATGGGCCCTCAACTTTTGTACAAGTTACGAGCGCTAAAACTAACAAAATGAACTTCAACACAGAGAAATGTAAGGTACTGCCCTTAGGCAAAAAAAATATGAAATGCACAGATATAGGATGGGGACAATAATACATGGGAAAGGAATCTCGGAGTCCTAGTAGACCACAAGTTGAGCATGAGTCAACAGTGTAATGTAGCAGCTAAAACGGTCAATGTGATTCTAAGCTTCATCAATAGAAGTCTAGTGTCTAGAATTCAAGGGAAGTAATAGTGCCATTCTATTCTGCTTTGCTCAAGCCTCACCTGGAATCCTGTGTCCAGTTTTGAGCACCACAGTTCAAAAAGGATGTTGAGAAGCTGGAGCGTGTCCAAAGGAAGGGGACCAAAGTGGCGAAAAGTCTGGAAACCATATCCTATGAGGAGCAACTTAGGGAGCTGGGTATATGTAGACTGGAGAAGAGGAGGTTAAGAGGTGATACGATAGCTCTGTTTTAATATTTGAAAGGAGGGGATACTGAAGATGGAGAGGTTTGGGTAGGCATAGAGCATTCGCAGCCCTTTTAATATTGTTAAGTTTCTTCTGCCCTGTTAATTCAGGACTCTTTTTTAAGAAAAGTCTGCACAAAAACTAGTACACATTTTTGTACACACAACTAAATTGTCTAATATGTGTATTTTGTATAGTATGTACAAATACACCAATAGGTACAAATGTGCTTAGTATGTGAATTTTACATGAATATGAACATTTCTGTATACATGTCCACTCGTATATACATTTCTCTATATGCATATACATATCCCAAATAGGCATTTTCATGTTAGCATTTTTTAAATAATTTTGTCATGAGAACTGCATCACAGCATTCTGGCAAGTATGAAGGATTGGGTGCATATTCCAGTATGTAATCTGATTCAATCAATGTAAAAATTATCTCATCCCTAGCTCATTGGTTGTGGGTGGATTTCATAGTAGGAAGGTTCAGTTCACATATTAGCAATGAGAAAAAAAGTGTCTTTTCAATGAGTCATAGATGTGGGAATTAGAACTAATTCTCTAGGACTCAAGAGGGTTTAGGCAATTACAGTCACATCTCCGTTTTCGCGGGGGAATCTGTTCTGGACCCAACCCTCCCATGAAAACAGAAAATCACAAATATTCAAGCCCTGTTGGCTTGAATGGCAGTGCACGCCCATGGGCACCCACCCCATTTTGTCCCCCTCTGTTTGCTGCCCACGAACAGGCGAGGGACGCGGATACCAAGTCCGAGAAAATGGAGGGATGACTGTATACATCTCCCAAGAGTTTTCTGGCAAGAAAGCAGGTGTTTTTAGT